TGTAAGGAAGTCTCAGGCGGGAGCCGTTGTTGTTGTAACCCTGGGGCCAGGGGGCCAGTTTGAGCAGGAAGACTTTCCCTGTCAATAAACAGGGTGCGAGCGTCGAGGGGCACACTTTGATTGAAAAAATATGCACCGGTGGGGGGATCAACCATAATTATTGTTCAACCATAACAACAAAAACAACAACAACAACAACAACAACAACAACAACAACAACAACAACAACAACAACAACAACAACAACAACAACTACAACTACAATAACAAAAATAGATGTAAGACCGTTCGCCCTTATATGCTCGAGTGTCCAATAACGCGTATTTCCCAAACCCTCGATACCCGCCCTCTTCGTCTTCGATCGAACCTCTTTTGGGGGGTATACCTTTCTTCCCTGCAGGCAGGGCCCCGGCAAGCGGCGGGGCGGCCGCAGACCGTCGGCCTGGCCAGCAGCAGCGCTGATCGGCGGGGCGGCCGCGGACCGTCGACCCGACCCCAAGAGGGACGGACAGGGGACCGACCACGACGACGACGACGACGACGACGACGACGACGACGACGACGACGACGTCGAAGACGAGAGAGAACGACAGCAGGGCCACGAAGGGCACGAAGTAGGCCAGGGAGGGCGACAGAGGGGACACGAAGGGAATGCGTATGGGGCCACGAAGAGCGCGAACGAGCGGGGGCCACGAAGTGCAGATAATGCGGGGCCACAGAAGGCAACTATAGGGCCACTGAGGGTAGGAACTGGACCACGTAGGACAGTGAGGGGGACACAAATGGCGACAGCGGGGCCACGAAGGGCATGCACATGGGGCCACAACGGGCGCGACTCCTGGGTGCCTGGGTGTCGGGAGCGCGGCGCTTGGGCAAATTGCAAGAAATTCCAACGCAAGGCCACTCTTCAGTAAGTCGAAAGCAAGTCTCCAGCGACAGCGCGACTCCAGAGCGCCGGGAGAGCGGTTCCTGAATAGATCGTAAGGAAGTCCCAAGCGAGAGCGCGATTCCTTACTTAAATGCGAGGAAGTCTCGGGCGGGAGCGGGGGTCCTGCCTAAATTGTGTCTCAAGCGGGAGCCGTTGTTGTTGTAACCCCGGGGGCCAGGCGGCCAGTTTGAGCATGAAGACTTTCCCTGTCAATAAACAGGGTGCGAGCGTCGAGGGGCACACTTCGATTGAGAAAAAACAGTATGCACCGATGGGGGATCAACAAAAATTATTCTTCCAAAATGAGAATTTAACAGCAACAGCAACAACAACAGCAACAGCAACAACAGCAACAGCAAGAGCAACAGCAACAGCAACAACAACAGCAACAGCAAAAGCAACAACAACACCAACGACAACATCAACAACAACACCATCACCAACACCAACAACAACAACAACAACAACAACAACAACCATTCTAAGGCTGTACGCTCTTACTTGCCCGCGAGTCATTCAACACGTATACCCTACACCCTCGATGCCCGCCCTCTTCGTCTTCGATCACACCCCTTTCGGGGGGATTATTTCTCTTTGCTGGGGCCGGCGGGCTTAGACGTACGGGCAAACCGGAACGGGCGGACAATCCTTCGGGGGCGTACATCTCTCTGCCCGCCATTGGAATTGGCGCGGGCCCTGCAAGAGGAGGAGGGGAAGAACGAGGGAGAGTGGGAGGAAGGGGAGGGGGAAGGACGAAGGAAGAGGGAAGATACCACGTTGTGAAGGCGTCCTTGGCGCGTGCGTGGTTCCTGAGCGCCGAAACGCAATTCCAGAATAATTTGTGAGGACGTCGCACGCGAGAGCGCAGTCCTGAGTACATTGTGAGGAAATCTCGGGCGGAAGCGGGGGCCCTGACTAAGTTGCGAGGAAGTCTCAAGCGGGAGCGCCGTTCCTGAGCAAATTGCACGGAAGTCTCAGGCGGGAGCGGGGGTCCTCACTAAATTGCAAGGAAGTCTCAGGCGGGAGCGCCGTTCCTGAGTCAATTGCGCGGAAATGTCAAGCAGGAGCGGGGGTCCTGAGTAAAATTCGAAGAAGTCTCAGGCGGGAGCGCCGTTCCCACGTAAATTGCACGGAAGTCTCAGGCGGGAGCGGGGGTCTTGATTACATTGCGAGGAAGTCTCAGACGGGAGCGCCTTTCCTGAGTAAATTGCGCGGAAGTCTCAGGCGGGAGCGGGGGTCCTGAGTAAAAATCGAGGAAGTCTCAGGCGGGAGCCGTTGTTGTTGTAGCCCGGGGGGCAGGGGCACAGTTTGAGCAGGAAGACTTTCCTTGAGAAAAAACAAGGTGCGAGCCCCAGGGGTGGCACTTCAATTGAAAAAAATCAATGTGCACCGGTGGGGGGGGATCAACAATAATTATTCTTCAAGAATGAGAGTTCAACAACAACAACAACAACAACAACAAAGACAACAACAACAACAACAACAACAACAACAACAACAACAACAACAACAACAACAACAACAACAACAACAACTACTACTACTACTACTACTACTACTACTACTACTACTACTACTACTACTACTACTCACATATCCGCAGGAATGCCCTGGAATGCCCCGGATTCTCCAGGAATTCAGACGCGGGCGAAAGGCAACACGCACCGGCGGTGACGTGCCAAGAGGAAAGAGGAGAAGAGGCCAATCCAGCATTGGCCCGACTCGCCAAAGGCTACTCTGGGTTTCTTAATAGCGTGGGGGGTACCCCCCCGACGGGGGTCAACCTCGCCTCGTCGTCGCGCCGCGACGGGGGTCGGAGCGCCTTCAGCGCGCGGTGGCTGCCCGCGACGGATGTCGATGCGGGGCTGTCGGCGGGGGTGACGCCCCCCCGACGCTAATTAAGGAACTCGGAGTAGGCACTCGTGCCTGCGCGGCTAGAACTGACTGTCAGCTGAAAGTGCAGTGGTGCCCTGCGGATGAGACACCACAAGCAGCACGAGCCTGCACGTTGCACGCCGAGAGGCGGGCAGGGACCAAAGGCAAAGGAGAGACTGATCCGCGAAAAGCCTGGCACGCGCGAGGCCCCGCTGGCGTGGCATGCCTGTCAGCGGCGCCACCTGACAACAGGTGCGCGAGGCTGCGGCAGTCCATCTGAATCTCCTGACTCGACGCGCGGGTGTGTGGCTCCCCGAGGCAGGGCACCAAGGAAGCCTCGTCTTCTTCTTGCCAGAGAGCTTCCCTGACTCTGATAAGAGGGCTGGGCTCCACTGCCGCAGCAGCAGCAGGGCCGACAGGAGAAAAGACGGGAATCAGAGGCTTCTTACCTCCCGCGCCTGAGAAAAAAAAACTCTCACAAACGAATCAAAAACTTAAGCACGCCCAGATTGAAAGCCACTCCGCTTTATCAGGGCGCCTCCCTTACCTGATCTAGTTCCAGTTCCTGTCGCTGGTAGCTTGAGCCCCCAGAGAAATACGACCGAAATTGAAACAAGAAAAAACGTGCGAATTATCACTGGCCTCGAGGGCGATAATGCGGTTTGGGGCCGATCCAAAACAATGCTGTCCAACCTGCCGTGTCCTCGACACGTCCTCTCGGCTGGGCAAGAGGGGCTGGCCGAACCCTTGAGGCACACACTACAGCGCCAGACGCCAAACATACGAGCCCAGCGGTACGGGTCTCGCTAAGCCGCAGGAGAAGCAGGAGGAGGAACCCGTTCCACACCCCGAAACTCCACCCGAGGAAGCAGAGAAAGCCCGTCAGCAGCGAGATCCATGACACACATGGCGATGTGGACCTTTAGATCAACGGCTTCCACATCATCGAACAAAAACTCGGGTGCCAGCTGACAGCATGCTTGGCACCAACGTCGGCACAGTCGTTGCCGCGACGAACGAAACGTTCCTGAGAAGAGATGATGTGCTCGTGTAAACCCTTGCGAGCATCAACTGTGGACAGGCTGGACATCTTCGAGCCAGCACCACGAACCTGGCGAATTCAGGGCCCGAGAGAAACTGGTCCACAACATTCCTGCAGTCGCTGTAACAATCAGCTCCAGCCTCCAAGGAAAAGTTTCAACCCCAAACGCCCCGAACTCCGCCGCCTGGGGGGTCAAAGAGTAAGGGGCCCAAACCAGGGCTGTGACTTCGCACAGCAAGTTAGCATGTTCATCCGTCATGGCCACGCACCAACCAGAACGGGAAAGCTCAACCACAAGATGTTTGGAACAACTGCCATCCATGGAAACAAAACCCCAGAGTCCGAGGCGAGGGCGAATCTGAACAGGACCAGGGAGACCAGGGAGAAACGCTTCGGGCACAGACCAGCGAACGTGGACCACAGGGGTTTGGGGCAGGAATGCCACAAGACTGCGAACTCCAACAGGTCAGAGCATCTGTCCCGCATTGCCGAAGGCCAGTGGCACAAGGTGCTGAGCAGGGTAGAGCAAGCTCGCAGGGGCTTGTAATCTTTCAAACGTCGCTTCGCGAATGGGGTCGAACTCGAACTCCTTCCCCTTCCTCTCCCAAGTGCCCCCACAAGGGGTGCCACTACGGCTGGGGGAACACATCTTCCAATGGCTTGGCCAAACTTCGGCCCAGTGCCTAACCGCACGGGCGCCTGCAAAAAGGCAGGGGGGGGGGACAGTGATTCGACCAGGGGCGTCTTCGACACCGCCACTCCACGGACCTCTCCACGAGGCGCGCTCCGACCAGGGTTCCGAGGCGAATCCACCAGCGGCGGCGACGAGGACCCCCAGGAGGCTCCGAACACGACACCCTCGTCGCCCTGAAAGCTTCATTCGCGAGTGCCTCAAAGGGCTTCGCCAGTCAGGCGAAAGCGAAGCAGCGGCATCGGCATCGGTACGACACTCCTCATCTGCCCGCCCGCCTGCCTCGTCCTGCCAGTACCGGCATCCTGTCTGCGCGTTCGTCGTCGCTTGTTCGTTCCTCGTTTTCCTCCTTCCCTCTCGTTCGCTCGCCGAGCGGCACAGAGTGCCGGGTGCCAGCGGCGCGGAGGGCCAGACGTAGACACACTCTGCAGCCCTTGGACGGCGTGGCTTTTCCCCCTCGGAGCCTCCTCGAGGAGTTGAGCCCAGGCCAGCTGCTTGGCCGTCGGCGCGGCGGTCGACCTCGGCGTGCGCCTGCCGAGGCTGGACGACGACGACGCCAACGCCAACGACAACGACAACGCCAACGACGCCAACGACGCCGACGACGACGACGACGACGACGACGACCAACGACGCCAACGACGACGACGACGACGACGACGACGACGACGACGACGACCAACGACGACGACGACCAACGACGCCAACGACGACGACGACGACGACGACGACGACGACGACGACGACGACCAACGACGCCAACGACGACGACGACGACGACGACGACGACGACGACGACGACGACCAACGACGCCGACGACGACGACGACGACCGACAACGACGACGACGACCACGACGGTGGCGGCGGCGGCGGCGGGGGCGGCGGGGGCGGCCGCGGTGGCGGCGGCGGCGGCGGCGGCGACGGAGCGGCGGCGGCCGCGGCGGCCGCGGCGGCCTCCTCGCCTGCCGCTGCCCCCCCCGCGCGCCCAGGCGGACGAGGGGCGCCCGCTCCTCCGCGAGGCCGCGCACGACGCTCGGGGCCCCAGGCGGCAGCCGCCGCGGCCCGCGCGCCCGCCAGGGGCGGTGCCCCGCGGAGCCGCGCGCGGCGGCGGCGGGCGCGGCGGCGGCGACGGCCGCCGCCAGGGCCGCTGGCGCCGCCGCGGAGCAGCGCACGGCTGCGGCGGCGGCCGCCAGGGCCGCGGCCCAGGCGCCGAGCCTCCTCCGAGGATGAACCAGAACAGGACCCCTAACCTTGTGGGAGGGGGCCTAAGTCAGGAGGGCCAGAAATATTCATGGGGTTCATCGGCCTGACCTCAGGAACGACAAAGAAGGAACGAAGCCTTTTTTGTTCCAAGGAGTAACGCATAAGACGATAAATAAGAAGTAACGCATAAGGAACGATGGATAACGCATGCAAGCCCAAGGAACGACCAAGCCCCCCTTGAAAAGCCAGTGCTCCTTATTCAAGCCGCTCGCTGTATGGTCAGGGGGGTCTTTTCTGCAGGTATGAGGGCGGGGCCCTCTCTGAGGCCACGTCTGCACTCCGTCGACAAGGTTACAGGCTTTATCCTCGACGATCCGAGGCCGCGGCGGGCGCAGGGGCGCGCGGGCCATGGCCGCACGCGAGGGCGGGAGCCCTGCAGGAGGGTGCCGAAGCTGCTCCGCACGCCCGAGGGCAGCAGGGCGGCGGCAGGCAAGCAAGGAGGAGGAGAAGGAGGAGGAGGAAGGAGGAGGAAGGAAGGAGGAGGAAGGAAGAGGGAGGAGGAGGAGGAGGAGGAGGAGGAGGAGGAGGAGGAGGGGGAGGAGGAGGGGGAGGGGGAGGGAGGAGGGAGGAGGAGCTCACTCGGCAAGCGGGGACGGCAAGGAAGTGGGCCGACCCGACCTCGTTTCGATACTGCGAGAAGGCTTCGGGTCCTCGGCGCCAGCCGCGGCTGGCACGGGCGGGGCCAGCGGCGGAGAGGCCAACGGCGGCGGCAGCCGCGGTCGCGGGATGGGCAGCACGGGGCCGCACGGGCCACGGCCGCTGCGACCAAAGCCCAGAGGCCTGGATGCCCTCGAGAAGCGGGGCGAGACGGGTCTTCCCCAGCCTGTCCAGCATCTGTAGCGACATGCACTTAGGGGGAAAAGGGGAAAAAGAGGAGGAGGAGGAGGAGGAGGAGGAGGAGGATCATCATCCGGATCGGGCGCCAGGAGGTTGGCCTCAACTCAACGGCTGGGCGGTCGTACGACTCCTGCGTGGACGATGGATGCAGGAGCCCGTGAGGCGAGCTCTCGGGCTTGCCTCCGGAACTGCTGCTGACATCTGTGAGGCGAGCAGCTGCCGCGTCGGCTGGGGCGGCCCCCCAGCCCCCGCGGGAGGAGGGGAGACGAGGACGGGGGGCAAGACGGGGAGACCAGCGACCAGGCCTGACCCGATCACCAGATGCAAACACGTGTTCCCGAACCGGTTACGAGCCGTCCGTTTTGAACATCTGCTCTGCCCCGTCAGCCGAGCGTCCGTGGACGAGGCCCCGCGGGGGCCTTGGAGCTCGCGGGTAGACGGCTCCCTGCCGTTCACGAGAGCCGCCCGCGGTCACCCGAGCGCGAAACCGTCTTTCCCACCCTTCCAAAACGCAAAAACCAAAGTCCAAAAACCATAAATTCAAGATCGATTCCCAAACTCCAAAAATCCAAACTCCCAAAATCCCCAAACCAAAAACCAAAACGATTCGGGTTTTTGGATTTTTGCTCGATTCCAGGGAACGCCTCGACAACTGACAGAAGGACGGCGAAGCCAGGGGAGCGGGGAAGACGGAGGACGGCGACGAGGCCAAGGAGGCCGCCCCGCCCCGCCCCGCCCCCGTCCCCCGCGCAACCCCCCCGCCATCCCTGCGAGAGCGGCGCCCGTGCACCGCACCATGCCTGGATTCCGTCCAGGCCCCGCTCCGACGTGGCACGGTGCACAGCTTTTGGGGCTCCTAAGGGCCGATGAACTACACGTCGTTCATTTCTAATCGTGTTCATTTCCAAGTGTGCCCGTGTCTAATTGTTCCTGGCCCCCTAGTGGCCAGGAAGAGGCCCAGGACAGAATTAGAAATGAGAGGATTTTGGCCCCACAAAAAATCAAAGAACCATCGAAAAATAAAAATGAACCATGTGTACGCACCGTACCATTCCTGGGTCGAAGATCGACAATGCCTCGGGGGGACGCCAGCGCGGCACGGTGAACACACATCATCCGCGGGCTCTTCTCCCTGCCGTTGCCCCACGCCACCTCTCAGCGGCCCCGCCCGTCCCCCCCCTCTCCTCTCGAGGCGGCCACCGCTCCTCCCACCTTCCCTTCCTCCAACCCCTCCTCTCTACTCCACCTCCTTTTCCATTTTCCCGTTTCATTTTCTTTCCTCCTCATCTTCCACCTCCTCCCCCATCCCTCCCCCCGCCTTTCCTCATCTCCCACCTCCTCCCCCATCCCTCCCCTGCCCCCCGCCCTTCCCCGCACGCCGTGCAGCGCGCGGCTTGCGAGCGGACTCGTGGCAAGAGTCGCTGCAGGCAGGCGCGCCGGAAACCGCGCAAGTGCTGCGCGCTCGGTGGCCGCCGAGG